AAGTAGGATGGCAGGACGTTGAGCGCCGAGACGTTGACACCTTCGGGGATATGAGGTATTGTAGGATAGACGTCGTTTAGGAAGAGCGTTTTAGAAAAGGTACAGACTATATCTGGATACAGATGATAATAACTGATTGCTTAAATGTAAAATAATAAAATGAATGCTTACACATTAAATAATAAAAATGAATGAACCCGAGCTCATTTGGTTCAAAGTTCTTATACTAAGTTTAATGGCTTTGTGACGTCTCTGTGTGTCTTAATTCCCAGAGAAATACGAATGTGGGTGCAAAGGGGGTGTCTGATTTATTACTTTCCTTTGAAAGCTTTGTGTATCGAAGTATTGTCGAAATCGGCTTTAACATCGAAACTAGAAAGATAAGCCAGTTAAGTGTTTTAATGACAATTACTTCGCGAAAAGAAATATGTTTTATGGTGGTTTCTTGGTCTAGGTTCTCAGACACGTGCACGAAATTTGGATCTATTACGGACGTGGTTATAGATATTATTTATTAGGTGTCGTAAATAAGATTTAATTATCTGGGAGATTTTTCGTTAAATGAAAGATTTTGAATTTAATAAGAATGCACACTATTATATTTAATAAATAGAATTATTAAATTATTAAGGTACCTGGGTGTGCGGTAGGTTACACTATTGATCAATTTGTTCAAGGGTTTTAGAAGAGATGTCGTTAGGCTGATTGATCTAAAAAAATTGGTTTCCTCGTAAGACGCTTTCGCAGGTTTGGAAACGAAGACAACTCTTGTAGATCGCCAGCTTTGTGGAACATATCCGAGAGCTATTGCTAGCTAGCAAAATTTACACAGTGGGCGATTCAATACTTCTTTGCCCTTTTATAGAAGTGCCGGGAATATACTTTCAGATCATGCTGTCTTGTTCGATTGGAAATAATTTACCACCCTTCCCTTACAAGTTTTGTTCTGTTTACTGTATTTCCAAGAAACCAGTTTGTTTTTGAAGCTCTAAGAATCGCCTTGTACGCTTCCCAGTTTCCAAATTTTTTGGCCAATTTAAAAAGTTTACTTTTTTTTGAAAGGTGTCGATTCCACCACACAGCGTTTCGATAATCATTTTTGTTATCAATTTGTGTAAAAAAACCCTCGACAGAAACTCAACATCCACTACTTAAGTTCCTCCCAATTACAGGTTCTAGGATTACGATATGTATACATATTATTTTATCTATGGTTATTTTACCTCATTGGTTGTGATAAAATTATGTGGTCGTAGGAAAAGTATTGTACATCACTTGTGTGAAAGTAATATTCACACTCGTAATGTATTGTACAGAATTGCCATAAAGGAAACAACTCTTCTATGCAATAATGCAGGTTCTCGTGTGTCTAGATGTTAAGTAAAAAGTCATGGTCCCTTGATATGCCCCACCTTAAATTCCTTTTATTGCGATTTCCTTACCTAATCCTTATAACCCCACTTTCGAAATAAAACAATCGATTCTTAATAAATACTTTTATTTTTTACCAAATTTTGAATACAAAATTATTCATTTCGCACCTACTTAAGATTATAATATCACATTTCTGATGTGGATATTACAAACCACAGACTTACTTCAAAAACGAGTAAGTACGTAACTGCACTAGTAAAAACGAACGAAAAAACGCGCCGGAAGGCGTCCAATTCTCGTAGGGGGCGGGGGATATATAAATTATTAAAATAAAGTATTGATCACAACCCTCTCTAACTAAAAACTAAAATAAAATCAAAAATAAAACAAAAAAACTATTTTTCCAAGTAATAAACCGCAACAAAAATTTATAAGTACACTATCAAAGGGACGCATACAGTCAATTCTAAATTTTATAAGATCTATGAGAAATCAATACGTAGAAATTAAAAAATGTTTTATTAAAAGTACAAATAAAAGTCACTCTTTAATAATTTGGGAGGCTTCATTCTAGGTCGCTTACATTACTGTCAAACTTAAGTTAGACCCAAATTGATCCAGTAAAAAAATTCCGATAATTTCACATGGTCCTTCGAACCGATTATGGATAATCCAAATGAAAAAGTAATGAAAACAATAATAGGTGAATTCTATTAACAGATAAAAACGAGGATGAATAAAATAGGTTCCCAAAGGAAATGAAAATGTCTCAATGTTTCCTAGGCTTGAAAAATAAGTACCCTACTGTAAAATTAGTACTGGGAATTCGTAAGAATATAAGGATGTAAGAAAAAAATAGAAGACAAAAACTAAGAATAAATGAAAGAACTGGGAGTATATGAAAGATAAAGCTACCGCGACAGAAAAAAGAAAAAAAAACGGAATCCTAGGCCATGCGTATTCATAAATGTTTGCCATGCGTATTCATAAATGTTTTCTAACTTCTTAATAGGTAGAGTTGACCAATTTTCAGGAATCACTAACCACAATCATTCAATCAATTCTTGATAATTTTGCATGATACTTCGAGTCGATAGATTTTTAATTTGCAAGAAGAAATAAAGCAATATTTGTATAAATTTCTATAAGAATGATAGAAGGCAACCGAATTTTAAGTTCAGACATTTTGAGTATGTATTCGAATCAATTTGGGTTGAAAATATATAGTAAGCGACTTATAACTTGAAAACCCCTTAAAACATTACTATTACGATCAAAAATACACGAAAAGTAGACTTGCAATCATTATTACGACACAATCTTAAAATTGTCAGCATTAAAATTCCAACAAATAAGTTTTTGTGTTCACTTTTATAAACGGCAGTGGATTCTGGAGAGGAAACGTAGATGTCGATCTGTATTATTAACATTTCTCCGAAACTAATGCAACAGAACTGCCATACGCACGCTCAGCATACAATACCAGTGCGCATACGTACCTCAGCCGAAGCCCCTTTAATTAAATGATTGAACTGCATTACTATGGCCAATCTAGGGTTGCCAACATTGTTTTTTGTTGTGAAAATATGGTAAAGTTTAACAACCACATGAAATATCATCAGTATAGTCACCGCTATTGTTATCCCACAATTTTTTTTATGTAGGATTGATTTTATGTGGGACCTATTTTATGTGATTGATTTTTATATCGGATCGATTTTATTTGCAACACATTTTGTAATATAACTTTAATGTGGGATCGATTTTACGTATAATTGAATTTATGAGGGACAGTTTTATGTGGGACAATTTTTATGCCATTTTTTGTTGGATAGATTTTATGTTGAATCGATTTTATGTGCAATTGATTTTTTGTGAAATTTATATTATGACTGACAGCTTTTATGCAGGAGACTTCTATGTGGAATCTATCTTATGAACGACCGCTTTTATTCGTTGATCAAAAAAACTTTTATGGGTATAGTTTTTGACATATAACTATGTAGGATCGATTTTATGTGAAACTAATTTTATAAAGGACGGCTTTATTATGGGACATCATTTGTCATAACTTTTATGAGATTGATTTTACATAAAATTGATTTAAGAGGGACAGCTATTATGTGGGATTCATTTTGTGTGTGATATCTATTTTGTCTTGAATCGATTTTATGTGGAATTGATTTTATGAAGGACACCCTTTTATACCTTACATGGGATGCATTTTATATGGGACTGATTTTGAATGCTTGATTTTATGAGGGACAACTTTTATAAGGGCCACTTTTATAGCATGTTTTTTATGTGTGACCGTTTTTATGTGGAATTGATTTTATGAAGGATCAATATTATTACTGACACTTTTTATACAGAATATCTTTCATCATATAACTTTTATCACATAATTATGTGGGATCGATTTTATGTGAAATCTATTTTGTATGTAATCAATTATTTTATGTTGAATTGATTTTATACGGGCAGTTTTTAAGAAGGACATCTTTTCACATATAACTTTTATGTGGGAATCTTTTATCATGATAATTTTTATGTAGGATCGATTTTATGGGGATCTAGTGTATATTGAATCGATTTTATGTTAAATTAATTTTCTACATCTTTTATGACATAATTTTTGTGTTTGATCAATTTTGATTATTTTATGTGGAATTTATTTAATGAACGACAGCTTAATTGTGGGACATATTTTGTGTCAACGTTTATATGGGATCAATTTTACGTGGTTTAATATTATGAAGAATTAATTTTATGAAGAACGGCTTTTATAACACATCACTTTTATGTGGGATCGATTTTAAGAGGAATCAGTTTTATGTGGGATTAATTTTCATGAGAAAAAGCTTGTAGGTTGGACATTCTTTTTGTCGTATAACTTATGTGGGATTGATTTTATGTTGTTGAATCGATTGTATATGGAATTAATTTTATGAAGGGCATCCCTTATGAGATCCATTTTATGAGATACTGATTTTGTGTATGATTTCATGAGGGGAAATTTTTATGTGGTACATTTTTATGGCATAATTTTTAAGTGATCGTTTTTATGAGGGACATCTTTTCTGTGGTATATCTTATGTCATATAACTTTTATGTGGGATCAATATTGTTAGTGATTTTTTTTATGAAGAACATCTTTTATCATATAACTTTTGTGAGATCAATTTTGTGTGATGTATTTTATGTAGCATCGATTATTTTTTATTGAATTCATTTTATAGGTACAGTTTTTAAGGAGGACATCTTTTCACATATAACTTTTATGTGGGATCTTGTCTATATTAAATCGGTTTTATGTAAAATTGATTTCAGACATCTTTTATGACATAATTTTTGTGTATGATCAATTTATGTAGACAGCTTTCAGTGGGATATATTTTAGGACACAACTTCTTTTCCAGATCGATTTTATGTGGAATTGATTTTCGTAAGGGAAAGCTTTTATGTGGGGGGTCACATAACTTATGTGGGATTGATCTAATTCATCTGGGACTGATTTTATAAAAGATGGTTTTAATGCGGGACATGTTATACAACTTTTATGTGCGAATTTATATTAAATTGATTCGTTTTTATGTGAGACATCTTTTATCATATACTTTTTTATGTAAGATCGATTTTGTGTGAAATTTATTTTATACCACAACTTTTATGAAGAACCACTCTTATGTGGGACTGATTTTGTGTACTTGGTTTCATGATAGACAACTTTTTTTATGTGGGACATCTATTATGACATAACTTATGTGGGATTTATTTTACATGAAATTGATTTAAGAGGGACGGCTATTATGTGAGACTGATTTTTGTGAAAGATCTATTTTGTGTTGAATTTGATATGAAATTGATTTTGTGAATGCCTTCAATGTCATATAGCTTTTATGTGGGACATCTTTTATAGCAAATTTTTTATGCATGATTGTTTTTATGTGGAATTGATATTATGACGGAAATCTTTTATATGGAACATTGAATTAAGTTACTGACCCGAAGTTTTAATATGGCAACCCCAAGTTGATCATAGAAAACATTCCATAATCGACATCTACATTTCCACCCTTAAGTTTATCAAGAAATCTTAAAAGTATAACTTTACAAAACAATCGTACACTGTTATGTACAACTTTGGCATTTCATACATTTAACCATTAAATGCTCATGTCGGTGGTATACTCAAAACGGAAATACAAACATAGCATTTAGGAAGCATCAGAAGGGCTGTAAAAAGTATCAGTAATACTAAATAAGTTACTAGATGCCGAAATTTATTTAGCGACAAGGGAAAATGTTACAGCGCTTTTGAAGCTTCAGGACACAGAACAATATTGTTTAAATATCATTCGTAGAATGTTAGAACCGAGGTGGGGAAAGCACAGCTTATGGATAATTCAGTTGTCATTTGTCATAAGTCGAATGCTTGATCTAAATTTGATTTAGACTAGTCCATTTCTTATCCAAGTCCAAATAAATTGAACTTAAGACGAAACATGGCGCAGTCAATTATGATGTAGACTGTATGAAACGAACTAGTTATCAAACTTAGCAGACATGTCATGGCAATTATTGTGATTAAATATTCGGGAAGTGTGTGTGTTGGGATAGGAGGGAAACGGGGGAATGATAAAGGTTACCCAATCAGTCTAATTTTAAGCCTCTTTCCAATGACAACAGCAATAGTCCTTGTATAAATATAAATATTCAAACTTAACAACGATTCTTTTAATACTCTGTACAGTCACAGCCGATTATCCGGTCGATGGCTTCTAATAGATGTCTTCGCCCTCCATGTTTGTGAGAAGTTTCTTTTTGTCTTCGCCAGTCGGTTCAAAACACGGCTGAAACAAGAAACAGTCATAAAATTAACGATCCCAGCACAGCACTTTACTTTATTATTATTAACAATAATTGCCAGGTTATATTTTAATTCAGCTAAATGCCTTTATGGCCTCGCCGTGTTTGGTATTATAAATATTTTTCCATCGCTGTAGGATAATGCAACTTTTTATTTTAGTATAGATATCATGTAACTTACTCCTAAATGTATTAATTTTTCTAAATATTATTTCTCCATATTCTACAATTTTTTGAACATCGCTTTTTTATTACATATTTTTTTACGCCCTCAGATTTTTTAGTCTCTTTTATATCTGATTTAATATAATATCCTTTGAGAAATTAGCGTAAACATTATTCATGATTTGAATTTACTGGCATATTAAAGTTATTCTGTTTTATAATTAGATATGTCGAAATGTTTTTTCAATTTACTATATTAACTCTAATATTTTAATAATAAATCAGGTACTACTAAAGGATACGTATAATTTGTATCCGAACAATTTAAAATAAATTTATGACAAACGTGGCGAGGAAGTGATTTAAAAAACAAGTGAACATTTAGTAAAATGCCAAGTATATAAAAACGAATGGAGATAGAAAATTAAGACAAGCACCATTGAAAAAAGAAGTAAATTTCCTATAGTATAAAGTATTTAAAAGATCGATTACCAGATCTATCGTTTCACAGATATTCATGTTGCTTTTTAAATATCTTATCTTCAACTTTTTACAATTTTTTGATCATAAGATGCATTTTAAATTATTTTTATTACACATTTTTTAACGCCCTTAGACTTTTTGGTCACCTTTTCATCTTATTTAATGTAGTACTAAAAATGGGCGTAATTTACCGAATTTTTTTTATAGATTTATATAGATTTATATATATTTTTTGTAGATTATTTATTATTATTTATATAGATTTATATATATTTATATAGATTTATATAGATTTACATAGATTTATATAGATTTATATAGATTTATATAGATTTATATAGATTTATATAGATTTATATAGATTTATATAGATTTATATAGATTTACATAGATTTACATAGATTTACATAGATTTACATAGATTTATATAGAATTATATAGATTTAAATAGATTTAAATAGATTTATATAGATTTATATAGATTTATATAGATTTATATAGATTTATATAGATTTATATAGATTTATATAGATTTATATAGATTTATATAGATTTATATATATTTATATAGATTTATATAGATTTATATAGATTTATATAGATTTATATAGATTTATATAGATTTATATAGATTTATATAGATTTATATAGATTTACATAGATTTACATAGATTTACATAGATTTACATAGATTTACATAGATTTATATAGATTTATATATTTATATATATTTTTTGTAGATTATTATTATTTATATAGATTTATATAGAATTATATAGATTTAAATAGATTTATATAGATTTATATAGATTTATATAGATTTATATAGATTTATATAGATTTATATAGATTTATATAGATTTATATAGATTTATATAGATTTATATAGATTTAAATAGATTTATATAGATTTATATAGATTTATATAGATTTATATAGATTTATATAGATTTATATAGATTTATATAGATTTATATAGATTTATATAGATTTATATAGATTTATATAGATTTATATAGATTTATATAGATTTATATAGATTTATATAGATTTATATAGATTTATATAGATTTATATAGATTTATATAGATTTATATAGATTTATATAGATTTATATAGATTTATATAGATTTATATAGATTTATATAGATTTATATAGATTTATATAGATTTATATAGATTTATATAGATTTATATAGATTTATATAGATTTATATAGATTTATATAGATTTATATAGATTTATATAGATTTATATAGATTTATATAGATTTATATAGATTTATATAGATTTATATAGATTTATATAGATTTTATATAGATTTTACAAATTTTGATAGTTTTTTATAGATTTTACTTACCGTTTCACAGATATTCATGTTGCAACAGTTCTCGATGGTGATCTCGCACTGTTCCGTGTTCTGCTGTGGTCGGTACGTTAAAGGAGTGATGTTCTTGTTGACGATGATGCGTTTCTTGATCCTCGGTCGTCTCTTCTTGATGTTTCGAACGTAGACGGCCAAAGCGACGATCACTAATAAAGAACATAGCAACAAGGAAGAAAGATACACTACAGGATCCTCGAGCCTCGACAAAATTTCCGACTTTCCGTTTAAAACCGACTGGAAAGTTGAACTGGCGTTCTTTACCGGATATATGTAGCTGCACCTGGAAAAGAAAACGTTTCAATTGAAATCGGTACCAGTGGAACAAGTGGAAGTGTGCTCACCTGCACATTTGTTCAAATTTTTCGGAATAAACATTGTTTGGGCTGTCTCTGCAATAGTATTCGCAAATTTGCTCGTTGTATTCGCATCTATTGCCGATGAAGCCTTCGAGACAGCTGCATTTTGGATTTCTGGAGGAATTGATGGTACAATGTCCTTCGTTTAAGCAGTAACCGTCGCAGATATGTTTCTGACATCTCGAACCTTTGTATCCTTCATCGCAGTGACACGTGGCTTTTCCTGAAAATACAATTGACAATAGGTTTGTTTCAAAGTGCAATAGATAGGGGATTTACCCAAACTACTGATGTAGCAGCTTCCCCCGACGCAGTAATCATCGTTGCATACCGAAATATCGCAGTACTTTCCTCTGTATCCCCTTTTGCATTGGCAAAACGTTTCATTTATAATGTCACCGTTCAGGCATTTCTCGAACTCCTTCTCTTTAATAGGAGCGTTCGTTAGATCGAAATTGTTTTTACGCTCCTGATACTCCTTGATAACGGCAGTTAAATTCCCACAATCGTCATGAAGCAGGTAATTTTTAGTGACCAGACCCATAGGAATTTCGGAAAACATGGCTAACTTTTCGGGATCCGCGTACGGGTCTACTACGCTTTTTGGAAACTTGTATAAGTAGTTATTGTTGGTGTCTGTCCAATAGATGGCGTCTTCGCCTATCGCTAGACCATATGGTTCCATGGCGTTTCTTTCGATCACTAATTTTCTGTCTGTTCCATCTAATGCGATACTTTCTATCCTACCTATAGACAATTGATGAAACAGCGTGAAAAAGATTGTTCAAAATGATTAAGTCTGATAGCGAAAAAAAGAAAATGAAGAAGACTTTGAAATAGTTTACAAGAAATATGAAACAATCTTCTACAACAAATTTTTAAGATGTTAATACGTGGTCATCATATCTTCTCTACATACTAAACGCTTTTACTACAATAATACTAAAAGAAGATGAAGGTTGAAGAAGTTACTTACCAGCAGCTGCCCCTATACGACTATCAGCCCAGTAAAGTCGTTGGTCCTTGTAATCTATGGCGAGACCTACAGGAGTCATAATAGTATTGGACACCAGGGTTTCATGTCCCGTATGGTCTAATCTCATTCTTTCGATGGTAGGATTATCCCCTGAAGGATTTGTGTAATAAATGTAGCTAAAAGAAGTGCATATTTAGATTTGAAGATGGCGATTTAGATATAATCTTACCGATTACAAACATCAATCGCTATGGCATGAGGATATTTGTCATCGAAGACTTTATATTCTTTTGAATCGAATGTTGTTGTCCCATTTAGACGAACATAATTTATGGTGTGATTAAATGCGTCTGTCCAATATAAGACGTCTTCTAATGGATCAACAGCCAACCCCTAAAAGATTTTGTTATAACTTGGTTATTTTGACATAAATTATATAGTAATGACGTGTTTTTTGTATTTCTATATTATACTTTAATTCTCTTTTGCAATATAAGCGTCCAACAATAAGATTTGGTCCTTGAAATATAAGTTATTTTTTCAGCTATTGTGTTTATTGTTTCAACTAACAATGGAGCTAATTACGTAGGTTTTTTTAATTTTGTAAATTTTATTTACCGGTAATTTCGATTATAAAATACAAATAATACATAGTTCATTAAATAAATATTCATTTAAATGAGAATACGAGGTTTGATCTGTAAGTTCCAACCCTGACTTATTTACAGTGGTCTGCTAGATTTAAATTGTTGATACAAATTGAAAATGAATGATTTATTAATTAACTAACTTGTACGTCGCCAGGAAGATCTCGGATGATTGGTACGGTAATATCAGTCTCTTTGGTAAAGCGAACGGTGAAGATGGTGTCGTTTTTTAGGTCCATATCAGTATCGCTGACGATGAATTGGTCTCTGACACCATCGTAAACTAGGGCTTTGAGCGATGAGAAGGGCTGCGACCTCGAATCTATTTCCGATCCGTTGAAGGACAGCAGTTTGATTTCGTTTTTGACGACCACTGCTAAATCTGAAATAAATACAAATTCATTAATGTTTTTAAGAGACAGTGAATTAGTAGATCGGTGCCACCGAGGCTGGCGGTACCACAATGCGCTGATTGTAGCACGCAAAAGAAAATGGAAATTTGTACGGCCGAACTCAAGCAAGTAGGCATTTATGCCCGTTAAAGATTTTATCCTTTAAATAATCAGATTTAAAAAAGATTTTCTTTTTAGTGTTTTATGCTTGGTATTTTTCCTATCTAAATTGAATTGATTAGAATGACGTACGGGAGAAGAATGACATATGACAGGTGAGGTTATGATTGAAAGATGTATTGTCTCCAAACTGAAATCAATCTAACCGAGGATATTTTTAATACTACGATAATAATACTCAAGTTTGAATTGGACCATCTTGTATATTTCCTTTTCTTATGAGATTTCCTTCTTTTAGGTTTTATATCGTTTATCAGAATCAAATTTCTTTTTGTTTATTCAACTATCATGCGCTTTTTTAAAAACAATTTTTCGAAATTTCGAATACTTAACCATGTATCCTACGTATGTAATCTAGATGGATCTTCAGCCCCATACTATTTATTAATATCTGCCAATTGTTTGGCATTAAATCCGCGGTCAAAATCGCGAATCATTTGATACATAAATAAATCATCGAACCCAATTTTCTCCAGTGAACAAATAATTTAAATTACCTATAATAGATTGGCGCATGGTTTTGATCGTCTCTCATTTCAATCGATACCACGTGTTGGCCGGAGACGGGCAATGCATGCCTTTTGTCACGTAGACCACGAAATTTGAGTCGTACGCAAAGAACCTGAGAAACAGCTGAAGAACGTAACTCGATACCCGAAAACAAACAGTTATTATATCAAATTTAAGCTAAATCAAAGCTGGAAAGTGTTTATATCAGATGATATAGTATAAAATGTGATAATTTAGGAAATATCAACAGATTTAATTTTTTTTAATAAAAATCAAATATACCCTAACCTTTTGTTAGCGGTTTATGTTTTTTCCACAAAAAATGTCTACCGGCATCGCTAATGACATCCAAAGCTCGAGTCGAGAGGAACACTTGAATTTTGATCGTGCGGAACATGAGCAAGTAGGCATTTATGCCCGTTAAGATATTATTTATTTTGTTCCCTAATTAATTATTTGATAAATTATTATACAACTATGTTAACACTATGTTTTATGAAGTGAATATACAGGGTGTTATAGTATATAGATCGATAAATCTTTTAAAAAACAATAAATTCGTGTTAATTTCTTGTTACATTTAATACTGAAGAGTTATGTACTTGAAAAATATCTTCAAGCTTAATTATTATACCACTTGAAAACGAAACAGAAAATTTTGGACACCTCAGGTTATTTACAAAAAAAAAAGAAAAAACGATGGGATCAGTCAATTTTTGATTTTAGGGGGAAACATTTTTTTACCAGTTTCATCACCCCCTGAATCGAAACCCTCTAGCGGCTATGAGAGTCATCCCTAAAATTTTAAACTGAAAAAGGAGTCGAATAATATCTACACTAAACATACTATTGTATGAAAAAAAAAAAATTACTGAGGCCCTTTCTATGGGGCCTCAGTATTGAATTCGTGCAGACGAAAACATTTTCTTACCCCCATTTTTTAAAACTTTTTCATTTTTCCGAAAATGAAAAAAAAAAATTCGTCTGGTCGTCTGTGTGTATGTATTCCGGCACGATAACTCTAGAACGAAAGTTCTGATTGACTCGCGGTTTTGATTTTCTTGAATAATTACTTCTAACTTAGAATTCTATTGATTTTCAGAATTTTCGGTTCATGCTAACTATTTTAATATCAATTTTCTTATGCATTTCTTATGTGACTAATATTTTACGAATTCTAATCATTCTTAACGTCTAACATTCCTAACATTCTTAACATTTCATATATTGCAAACATTATCCAACGACCTGTCAAACAACAGCTGTTGATTGTAAAGGTGAGATGTTTAAGGCGGGTTGCGACCTTCATACTTGCAACCATAGCCATTTTGGAGGCTATTTTTATTCGAAATTAGTCGCTAAGCCTGCCAATTTATGAAAAATATATAAGCAGTTTCTTAAAATTATTCTTAATTATTCTTAATGTGTTATTATTATTTAATATTACTATTCTAGCGCCACTTTAGGAACAGCACTGTTAATTAGAACCCAACAGTGAATGGTCGAGTGGGGAATCCTATCAAGGCATCAGAATTAATTTTAAATAATTAAATTAAATGAAAAAATTCCGGACAAAGGTGGGATTCGAACCTTATTATTATTAGTTTCTTAGAATTGACTTTTTTTTTATGGTGGTGCCAACTTAAGCTTACTACTATTTCGCTCCTAGCCACAAAAACACCTTCACCAAATTTACTGGCTCTGTCGCAACCCCATAGAATAATTAACCTGCCATTTTATTTGGCAAAAATCAGAATAATACTTGGCTGTGCCTGTCAAGTATCAAGATGTCAACTGTGATGTGTTAATGGCTCTTAAATGTCAAATTATTTAAAAATGTTTGTATGCTTCTTTTGATATTTATTGCAAATAATTTGTAGTGTATCTCAATTCAGGTTTTCCATAAATAAAGGTACAGCAAGACAGATAATATAATGTTCTTATTCAAAGACTTTTTTATTATATAAAAGAGAGAGGTAGGATATAATGTTGGTTTTTTGTAGATAATTTTAATTATACGATTTTGGATTACATTAAGGGGTTGCAGTCCAATATCATATAGTCCACATTATACCATATCGCAAAATAAATTCAACCAGCAAATTGTAAATAATAATTAGTAAACTCCTAGTCATAAATTTCTTTAATTCATAAAATTTAAAAATGAATATTCTTTGGTTGTTAATGACGTAATGTAATCAACCCATTTCAAATTTTGATCAATTATGATACCGAGGTATTATGTTGTGTTTTTCATTTTACAATTTATTTCTTTTAACATAGTTGCAATATTCATCCTTCTGTCCTTTATTAATATTATATAAATAGGCGAAGTAAGGAGCCCAAATATTTTACATGAGCAGGCTTAAGAGGTAAAGGGACCAATTATTATTGGATAAATTGCTCAAACAAGTTTGTAAACCCTAATCAAAAGGCGATATAGAATGGTTTTAAAAATCAAGGCTTGTGAAATCATCACATGGTTTAACCTAAGTAATGCCAATGCTTCACAAACAAAAAAATTCAACGTCCTAATACTACTATCGGCTTTCGGTCTTTCGTTCCAAGTTAAATCATTTCTCGTTTTTTTTTACGCTACGAATTTACCCTTGTGGGCGTCAGTCTCGATAAGGTGGGAACCAGGGTTACCAGATTTTTGAAAGAGATGACGGACAGACAGGGGATTTTAGGGGAAATAGGGGGAAGTAAAAACAACTCAGTCTATTTTTACTCTTTTAATCAAAATTACTTATTTTGCAAGAAATCTTTACCTAATTTCGGTAAAGATACACTGAGGTGATTCAACAAATAATAAGGTGAAAAATCGAGAAATGGCAAATCGAAATCCAACATTTTCACCTTATTATTTGAAACACCTCAGTCTATCTATACCAAAAAATAGGTACGGATTTTTTACAAAATAAGTAATTTTGATTAAAAAAATGAAAATAGACAAGAGTTGTTTTTACTTCCCCCTATTTCCTCTAAAATTCTCTGTCTGTCCGTCATCACTTTCAAAAATCTGGTAACCCTGGTGGGAACCACCATTTTAGCGTCTCTCGAATATTTTACTACAATTAATTATGCATTTTTCTTGTAATTAATTGAAAAAGAAACAAAACTATTCCTTCGTGACATATATTTAACACTACATGTTTACCCTTTTTGTTGGGAAACATTTTCTGTTTCTCTTTGATGCTCTTTTCAACACCCTATTGCTTTCCATCTTCTGTCTCTTCTGAGCATATTGACGTCCCATCTTCCTTAGCATCGTCTCTCAAAATCACGGACGTTTTAGTGAAATATTTCACCCAGCTCTTCACTTCAAGTTTTCGGGAAAACGGTAAATAATAAGAGTTTTAATATGAGTTATGCAAGAAAACCTGACGTGATAGAATTTTTTAAATTTTTTTCCTGGTTTCAATGAGAAAAAATCTATGAGAAACAGTCAAAAAAATCCTATTCAGTTTTTTAGTTACAGACTTATGTAATATTAATTATAAAGCATATCGATTTTTCAATATAACAACTTTAATGAATGAACATTTCGCTAGTCATAATATTATGTTTATGGTTATTTACTATGCGTCGAAAACATTAAACAAAGATATAAAAATAATTAGTTGAGTTATATTATGATGGGTCTTGCATTTCACTATTCGCTTGCGGCTACAATTTCACATATTTCTAGGTCTACGTGACCAAATACATGTCAATTTAAGTTTACTGGCTTGTTTATTTATAGAGCTATCTTTTAAATTTATCTACATAAAATATAAAAAAAAAACTATATAGGTTTTGCAGTAAGTACCTTCATAAAGATTGCCAGTAATTTTATCAACCTAATTATCTTAAATTAATTAAATTATTAATTAATATCAAATTCAGGTAGTTTTAGATTTTTTTAAAGTTTTTTATTACCAGTTTGCTTATTTAATTTGATGAATAATTTTTTTAGTACAGGTCAGTTATTAATTTATTAAATATTTTTTTGGAGTCATTTTTTTTGCTTATTTAATTTAACCGTGGGTTTGTTTGTAAATAAAATTCGGGAGTGACCCGTCTAGGCGTGATTTAATAGTTCCGGTTCAAGTTATTTTATAATTGTTACTAGGATCCGGATATTGGATCATTTTCCGTGTTTATCTCATTAGATACAGATAATAAAAAATTAAACCTGAAAAATAGGAAGTCAATTAATTATAGATTTAATCTGAAATGACTAATAGATATCGTTTAGAGCAAGTTCTTTAATACAAACTATTATAATCTCCCTTATGTTTTTAGTTAAGAAATTGCC